CGCATTTATTATAAAATTGACCTAATGCGGCTAAATTCGACCTAACTCTGTAGTGTAAACCAGGGCTAGGAGGTGCAGAACAGAAAGAACTTGCAGCCCAGGGCTGGGGGTGGCTAAGATGGGTTTTAAATCATTCTGGCACTTCCCTGATTCTAACAGCCCCACAGGCTAACCCCTGCAGCCTATATGCCTCATCATTCCCTGGAATCCCTGCTGTGTTAGCTATGTGCTGCAGCCTTACCCTTCCATAGCTTTCCCCCCAGCATATCCCCTGTGCTAGGGCTTGTTCGAGGACAGCCTGTGGCTGTCTTCCTCAGTTTCTGTTCTATGGAAATTCTTCACTGGCCGTTCTACCCAGCGTCAGGGGGCCAGAGGGGGGATGAGAGTCTCACCCATAGATTTTAAATAAACAGTGAAAAAATAACCTGAGATGCCTCCACATGGGAGGAGAAACAGTAGACATAGGCAATCTTGCCTGTTAACTAGGTGCTTATTAAGACAGTGTTATTTCTCACATTCTCACAGAAATATAATTTATAAATTCAGGTACTATAGTATGTGAGATAATTGTTTCTTTTAAAAAATCGTTTTTTGAAATGAACCGGTACAATGTCATGTAGTTCTAAGTAATTTTCACTTTATAGATTCTAAAATGTAGGTCTTAATATAGAATTTGCTACTTTCAAATTTATTTAAGTCTGTCTTTCAGAAATTGATATTGTACAGTGTTACAGTTCATCATGTAACTAAACTTCAGGAGGAATAGATATTTTAAAAAGCTACTTCTTCAATGAATTTCTGTGAAAGGAAGACTGTTTTTACTTCGTAGATTATTGTCCACTGCTGAAAGCTTTTGATATTGACCCCAAAATTAACTGGTAGAATTCCCAGTTTTTATGGTAAATTATGCTCCAGATATTCCATATTTGGAGTAGCTTTACTCTGAATAAGTATTTTATGCTTACAAATGGTGAGAAAAATGAATTCATTAACTGTTTTACATTTATATTGGGCCATTCCATATTCAAATACTGTGGAAGAGCATGTGTGTGATACAAATGAAAAGGTGTCAGCAAAAAGGAACTTTTTTTTCCATAACCTCTTTATTTGCATTTAGAAGCATAACTTGTTCCATCATTTATATAATATGTGTAATTTTAAAGAAACCATTCTGTGCTGACTTCAGCTAGTAAAAACAAAAACAAAAGATCATTGTTCTTTTTACACTGAAGGATTTGAAAACATTCAGCTGCTTGTAAACTTAGATATTCTAGAAGCAATCCACCGCATAGTGGCAATGCTTTGTGTTCCCAATTAAAATCTAGATTTTGGAGCTGATTTGGGATAGCTTTGTTTCCATTAGACAAAAGTAAAATAGGAGAAAATGTAGGGGAAAAGAATACAGGCCATATCTTGCTCAGTAGGGATTCTGGTGTAGTCTATAGACTAGCATATATCTTAGCTTTCAAAAGGAAACAATCACTCATTCTCTCTGCTTGAGGAGATTGTACGATATCACAATGGGGCAAAACTGTGAGGACTGGAGATCAAAATAAAGAAACTGGTACAAAAAAGAACACTATAAAAAGCATGGTTTTGTACAGAGTATAAAATACTTTAATATGATACATTCCCTGTTGCTTCCAAACTAGCAACACATGCCCTCTGAGAAATTGCTCTATCTCTTGGAATTAATGTACTACATTCTGTACTGGAGCAACAGTGATTTTTAAGTGGCATAAATACTAACTCAATTTGCAGTTTCAATTAATTCTTCTGTTTTAATACCTCAACTATCAAGAAAAAAGTTTTTAAATAAATGGAAAATAAACACAAACAGTCTCTCTAAAGTGAACTTTGGGTGGCAAAACTAATCTATTACATGGCGTCACTAACAATAGAAGATATTAATGTATCACACTCAAAGGCATAATGCAATTAAAGCCATAAAAGAGTTCTTGAATTTATTCTAATTAATTTAAATGAAGGTGAGGGTGCATGTTAGACAAAAATGTGAAATATATTATTATAAGTATTGTAATAACTTTAGTTAGAGTTTTAACCAAATTGTGCACCATTTAAAATTACCTTAATTGGGTTTGGCAAATTTTCTGATTCAAATTTTGACCTCACTTCAACATTGTGGGTTTGAAAGCTCAGCTTGAACTTGAATATGATTACATTCCTGTTTCATTTAGGAGAAAGAGAGAGAGAGAGAGAGAGAGAGTGTGTGTGTGTGTGTGTGTGAGAGAGGGGGGGGGGCAGAGAGAGGAGAGAAAAATTCCAGTGGAAATATAGATACAGCAGGCCTGGTTCTCTTCTCTGATGTTTGTACATAGAATCATAGAATATCAGGGTTGGAAGGGACCTCAGGAGGTCATCTAGTCCAACCCCCTGCTCAAAGCAGGACCTAATCCCAACTAAATCATCCCAGCCAGGGCTTTGTCAAGCCTGACCTTAAAAATCTCTAAGGAAGGAGATTCCACCACCTCCCTAGGTAACCCATTCCAGTGCTTCACCACCCTCCTAGTGAAAAAGTTTTTCCTAATATCCAACCTAAACCTCCCCCACTGCAACTTGAGACCATTACTCCTTGTTCACATCAGGGTACCTTTGTTAAAGTCAATGGAGTTACACCAATATAAACTTTGGAAATTTCAGTAAGCCAACTAGAATATTTTCTTCTGGGGTTACCCCCATTAGCCAGGCTAACACAGCCCAGGTTTCCCGTTTAGTTAGCAAAACACTTCACTATTGTTGATATAGATATCTATATACCATACAGTCATAGTATGTTTAACATAGCCTTTAATACATACGTGATGAATTAGTTTGTCAGATACCTTTTGACCATTGCACTTCTACTCTCTCCACTTACCCATCTCCACCCAGACTTATTCTAATATTGCAAACCTCTGAGCAACTTCAAATATCTTGCACACTTTAAATACTCTGTTACACAATTTACCTAATTCCGTCACTAACCTGCCCAGTTAGACTGGTCTTTGATTCAGGATGGGCTGCTATCAGCCCTGGATAGGGCCTAAGCCCCAATATTTTGGGACTGTGTATGTCTAGAATTAGGCTCTTTATGCTTTTTGGGAAAAACTATTTCCAGCCAGGGTGGAGCAACACTTGTTCTAGTCCTGGAAAGGCCCACTATATTAGATTTTAAAGCTGTGACCTTTGTAATAGAAAAGCTATTTCAGGGTACATTTAGATGTTTTCTTCTCCCTCTGAGTCCTATGAAGTTACTTAAGAATGTAAGAACATAAGAACGGCCATACTGGGTCAGACCAAAGGTCCATCTAGCCCAGTATCCTGTCTTCTGACAGTGGCCAATGCCAGGTGCCCCAGAGGGAATGAACAGAACAGGTAATCATCAAGTGAGCCATTCCCTGTCTCCCATTCCCAGCTTCTGGCAAACAGAGGGTAGGGACACCATCCCTGCTCATCCTGGCTAATAGCCATTGATGGACCTATTCTCCATTAATTTAACTAGTTCTTTTTTTAACCCTGTTATAGTCTTGGCCTTCACAACATCCTCTGACAAAGAGTTCCACAGGTTGACTGTGAGTTCTGTGAAGAAATACTTCCTTTTGTTTGTTTTAAACCTCTGCCTATTAATTTCATTTGGTGACCCCTAGTTCTTGTGTTATGAGAAGGAGTAAATAATATTTCCTTATTTACTTTCTCAACACCAGTCATGATTTTATAGACCTCTATCATATCCCACCTTAGTCGTCTCTTTTCCAAGTTGAAAAGTCCCAGTCTTATTAATCTCTCCTCATACGGAAGCCGTTCTATACCTGTAATAATTTTGTTGCCCTTTTCGGAACCTTTTCCAAGTCCAATATATCTTTTTTGAGATGGGGCGACCACATCTGCACGCAGTATTCAAGATGTGGGCATACCATGGATTTATATAGAGGCAATATGATATTTTCTGTCTTATTATCTATCCCTTTCTTAATTATTTCCAACATTGTTTGCTTTTTTGACTGCAACTGTACATTGAGTGGATGTTTTCAGAGAACTATCCACAATGACTCCAAGATCTCTTTCTTGAGTGGTAACAGCTAATTTAGACCCCATCATTTTGTACGTATAGTTGGGATTATGTTTTCCAATGTGCATTACTTTGCATTTATCAACATTGAATTTCATCTGCCATTTTGTTGCCCAGCCACTGAGTTTTGTGAGATCATTTTGTAGCTCTTCACGGTCTACCTGGGACTTAACTATCTTGAGTAGTTTTGTATCATCTGCAAATATTGCCACTTTACTGTTTACCTGTTTTTCCAGATTATTTATTAATATGTTGAATAGGACTGTTCCCACTACAGACCCCTGGGGTATTGGTATTACTTATGGTAAATATACAATACCTTGTTTTCCTAGTATAAGGATACTAAAAATTACTTCAGTGTGTTTAAACCCTCTCAAATATCTGTAAAATAGTTTTATGTAAGATAATATGCTGTAAAGGCTTTACTGCCGTAGACTTTCATTGCCTTGTTTATCTCACTTGTGATTTCATCACAGATCAATGCAACCATACTAAATATTTATACCATTACCGCACCATTGCATTGTATATATGTGTGACGATTTATATTCTTATGCTTATCCTTGCTAGGCTAGTAGTAATAGCATCTTTTTCTCTAGCTTGATATTATCCATTTTGTTTATGATATCCACTGATTTTTAAGAGAACTTAGGCTGTTTGTTGAAGCTGCGGAGATGGTCAACATATATATAGTATTGCTAAGCATTCTTGTCATGCATGGATATATTGCTGGACTGTAAATACGTATTTTGAACTGACCACACATCTGACTGAGGAGCCAATAAAATCCATGGTACTTCATTCTTGCATGTATTTTCATATCTTGAATGTGCAGTCATGTGTGTCTTTAATTGTAAGTTTGTTTTAAATGTGTCTTGCTTCCACACTTGTTGTATTCACTTTTATTCTGCTTTGTTTATGCACCTCTCAGTCATGGATTAAACAGGTCTGTGAGTCTTCTCAATGCATGCAAACTGAAAAAAACTACTGTAAGGTGAGGGATTCTTAGTAGTATTGTAGTGTCATAGTTCAGTAGGTTTTCCCTTCTATCATAGCTCAGGGGGGTTATTTTAGTGGTGGTGTTTATATCATAATACATAATTGTAGTAACTATTACAATCTTTAGTATTCTCAGAAATAAATTTTGCAACATATACTCATAACCAATGTGTTTAAATGCACCAGAACTTTTATAAAGTAATTAACTCAGTAATGGTACCTCTTCTTTTCGTGCTAACATTATCTCAATTATAGTGATGATTTTTCATAATGCAAATTCCTTCAAACATAATTGCTTATTGCAGCTTGTTTCCTAAGTATTGTAAGTCAAACTTTTTGTCCTGGTGTTGCACCATTAAAAACTACCTTTTCTTAAGATTAATTATGAAGGCCAAATTCTGGACTCAATTATTCTTGTACACCCCTATAAATCAGTGTCCTAGTTTCTGTGATCCTTATGCTTCTCATTTAAATTCCACTTGACGTATCAGTATGTCTGCTGTGTCCAGAATAAGCATGTCAATAGTGTTCACTGTAGCATCTTAGTTTTTAATTATATAAAAATACGGTATTACACCTACCAAAATATGTGCATGCTTAAATTGATTTAACAGTATGATGGTGTTGCCATAACCCTTATCTTTTCTTGCCTCTTCACTTCCCTACTGCCTGTCACTATTGCTCATTGTGTCAAGGCTAAAATCTAAATTGTAAATTCAATGACGCAGGGACCATGTTCTTGTGAAATGCCTACCTCTCTCTTGGGTCCTATAAAATAACAGAGGTTTCAGAGCTAGAGTGACCACCGGTCCCTTATTTTAAGGGACCATCCTTTATTTCATTGATTTATCCCTTTCGGTGACCATTCATCCCTTGTATTTAAATGTATTAAAACTGTTAAGTAATACTTTAAACATTAAATTGAAGCTTATGATAATTTCATTCTATATTTGAGGGCAGTAGAAATATCCACTTGAAAGAGAAAAATACATGATATGCTAAAGGCAATGGTGTTTCCCTGAAATATCCCTTAAAATAGAGCGTTGTCTCTTATTTTTCTTGTAGTTTTCCCTTATTTTCTATTCAGAGGTGTAATTGAGGTTAGAATTTGGCACATAATCATAATTAAGGATGCACAAAGGATGTATTAGCATGCATGTGTCAGTATTAATGTCTAACATACTGTGTCATAACTGATGAAATAGTACTAGTCCAGGGGTGGGCAAACTACGGCCCACAGGCTGGATCCAGCCCATCAGGGCTTTGGATCCGGCCCACAGGACTGCCACCCCCATGGAACAGCGGGCCCCACGCCGCTCGCAGAAGCGGGCAACACCATGTCCCTGCGGCCCCTGGGGGCGGGGGCAGAAGGCTCTGTGCGCTGCCCTCGCCTGCCGGCACCCTCCTCCCCCCGCAGCTCCCATTGGCTGGGAACGGGGAACCGTGGCCAATGGGAGTTTCGGGGGAGGTATCCACAGGCAAGGGCAATGCGTGGAGCCCTCTGCCTCCCCCCCCCAAGGGCCGTAGGGACGTGGTGCCGGGCTGCTTCTGGTAGTGGCGTGGCACGGGGCTAGGGCAGGCAGGCAGGGAGCCTGCCCTGGTCCCGGTGCGCACCACTGCCACTCTGGAGCTGCTCCAGGTAAGCGGCGCCAGGCCGGACCCGCACCCTGAACCCCTCCTGCACCCCACACCCCAACTCCCTATCCTGAGCCACCTGCCACACCCTGCCTGCACCCCAACCCTCAGCCGTACCCTGCACCCCTCCTGTACCCCAACTCCCTGCCCTGAGCCCCTCCCACACTCCGCACCCCTCCTGTACCGCAACCCCCTGCCCTGAGCCCCCTTGTACACCCCGCACTCCTCCTGCGCCCCAACCCCTTGCCCTGAGCCCCTTCCTGCACACAGCACCCCCTCCCACACGCTGCACTCCCTCCCGCACCCCAACCCCCTGCCTCAGCCCTACATTCATGGCCCTGCATGCAATTTCCCCATCCAGATGTGGCCTCGGGCCAAAAAGTTTGCCCACCCCGTGCTAGTCAATAGCAGTGTCATACTTAGCCATCAGTTTTATATGGAACTTTTCTGAGAATAAGGTTCAAACTTCTCAAGTTGCCACACATTTTTTAACTGAAGACAATGCTTTAGTTAAAAGAAAGCATTCTTAATTTCAGTTCTCTTGTCCTTGTAATTTTTTGTTTTCAGGATGAGTTTAAGAACTTTACAAGTGAAATTGAAGGCATATATTTAAAGGCATATTCAAACATTAACATTAATGGTAAAATATGAATTGTAAAATATTTTTATTTAAGAAAATTGTTTTTGTCCTTCCATGTTAATATACTTTTAAAATGATTTCTTTCTCCAAAAAGAAGACAGCATTTTGTGTTGTGGACAGTAGTGAAGTTATTTAATATTTGTTGCTAAGTTTTTGACATTTAAAGTGAGATTAAAATGTGCTCTGTAACTTACTAATTATCTAATATTAATGCAACAAGTTGCATTTTTAAAGTGATGTTACCTTTTCATTCCATAGCTAGTGAACATAATACAAAAGATAGGCCCTGATCCTACAAACATATGCTTAATTTTATGCACTAGTATAATGGAGTTCAGTGGGCAACTCATGCAAGTAGAGGCACTCATAAGAGTAAATGTTTTCAGGATCAGGGCCTTGGTTTGTAATTGGAGAAACATTAAAATAGACTACATTATACATTAAAATGTTTTCATTATGTTCTGGCTGCCAATATTTTATCTGATTGGTTGGAGGAGCTTGCTCTGAGTGTTCCTCCTTTATCCCTTTCACCCAGGGCCAGCCTAAAACGTACTGGTTTCTGAAGCGAAAGCAAGATTTGATCCCTTACTACCATCACTTCCTTGTTGGCAATTTATTTTTCCCACCTACCTATGCAGCTTAGCAACCCACATATTTTCGGTGTTATTTCATCACCCAAAAGAATATTCTTATTTAAACTTAATAATTTACATTTTGGTTGGGTTTTGTATCAGAATGCATCCAAAACAATTTGTACCACCATCAGGTGCTCCAAAAGAGAGAATATGGTAGCTGACATAAAGCTTTCCAGGATGCATCTGATGTTTCTGACTGTGTAGAACTTAAAATGGAGACATCCTTTCAGAGTAGTGCTTGGTTAGGTAGCAATTTAGCAGCTAAAGAATAGTGGTTCAGGTCTGGCAAGTTGGTGAAGTGACCACAGTAATCTCTCTCCCCCTTTCAATATAAAGTCTTAAGTGGCCAATCTATTTCACTAGTTACTAAAACTGTTTATGGTTGAGTCTTCTGTCTAACTAAAGACAGAACCCTCCTGGTAGAGATGTTTGGAGGAAGGTTGGAAGGGGAAATTAGCCCTCTGAGAACTCCCTCACAGAGGAAAAGGGAAAAATATCTTTTTAGGATCTATGTTTTTTTTCATAAATGTAAGTAGAAGTGTCACATATTGATAAGATAATGACTGAAACTGCAGAAATATTTAAGAGGTCTCAGTTTACTCATTACCTTTGGGTATATTAAAACTGGGTTGAAAGTACAGGATAGAGTATTTGATACTGAATTAAAGACTGAATGGATATGAAAAGACATGGTCAGCTTCGTGCTCAAAATTTGACCTACTTTGAGAATTATGTGTAATATGGCTAGGAATGTCACGTTATACTTTCTTTTTAAATCTGTCACTCCATTCTCTAAATTTAGGTAGTTTGGACTGATATACAAAAATTGTAAGTGTGACCTCTCTGATATTCTGCTTCAGAAGTCTATGTATTGCATATACCTGAGCAGTGGATATTCCAACTGGTATCAGTGATACTAGTATAGCACCTCTTGTAGACTGAAAAATAAGCAAAAAGGCAGCCATGTTAATCTCCATTGCAGTAGATACCCAGCAAAATAGTCCAACTGCTGCAGTTCAGTTCTTAGTAACCTAAATCATTATCTGTTCTAGAAAATAATTTGTTAAATAGTTATGTTAATGCTCTTCGAAATAAAAGTTCAGTTAAACTTTCTGAGGTATTTATCAAAATCTTTTTGTAATAAAATACTTTTATATGTACTGCTATATAACTTACTCCCTTTTTTGTTAGTACTGTCAAAAGAACCAGCTCAGCTGAACGTGTATCTCCAGGAGGTCGAAGGGAAAGCTATGGAGATTCCAAAGGCAGCCGCAATCGCACTGGTTCCACCAGCAGTTCTTCTAGTGGTAAAAAGAACAGTGAGAAGTATGTGATGTTTTTAATGTTTCCCTCTTCCCCACGCTGACTGCCCTAATAATGAAGTTACTAATTTTAAATAAGCAACTATTGAAAGGTTGGATTTTCTGATGATACAGCAATCAGACATGAGATGCCTATTGTGTATTGAACAGAGGATAGTTTTAAAGTACTCCATCATCTAAACACTTTTTCAAGTTGAGATTACACATTTTGTTTGCCTTATTGTATTCCAAGCCATGAGCCATGTGAAAATTTTGAGTTGCATACAGTAATGCCAAAAAAGCTTAGCGTTATTAATCCTTCTTTCCAGTATGTTGTTGGACTCCTTCATGTTACTTCTCATGATTTTTCTCTTTGGATAATGCAGTCACTTGTCTAGGGCATCATGTCTTCCCTCTGCTGATACATTAGCAGATTTTTAAAGTGACTGTTCATACTCATTATGGAGGCATTTGGTAATGTCTCCATAGTTAAGGTTGTGTTGAGATTTGCATGTAAAGCAGGACTACAATCTCTGTTTCATACTTTAAAATCTGATTTTAGTTTCCAGGTTTGGCACAAAACTCTTTATAGCACAACTGAAGTTTCTATATTTATTTTAGGGAAATATATACTAACTTTTGCAGAGGAAGCATGTAAACTCTGTTTTGGAAATGTTGTCCTGTTTTCCTTATTTCTTTGATTCCTTCTAGATAAATAATCATGTAGCTCATAAACTCTGTGCACACACATGGTAATAAGCTCTTGGACATAGGCCATTTTTAAAATTAAACAAACAGAGATTCCAGGCTAAAAAGAAGGATCCAACCAACTTGGATCCTCTTGGTGGCACTGTGATGATGCCTTAACCAATAGTGAACAGATTTACCACTCAGATCCATTGCTACTGTAGGTTATCAGATTCGACTAAGAGCTGATGGTTTTGTTGATCACAACATGTTCTGCATGAAAGATTAGCTTTCTATGGAAGCAGTTTCAGTAAATATTGCCATTTTGCACTCCTTCCTTTCCCTACTTTCCTTAACTCCATAGAGGCTTTTCAATACAAATGGTTTACCAACAATCATGGCACAGCGCAGTGAATTACAGAAGGGGGCGGGGGAGAAGAAAACAAAATAGCTTACATCTCTTGAAAGCAATCCCCTCTCTCTGACCACTTTGGTCCCTTTGTCAGCATTGCACTTAGTGTCTAGATAGCAACTCCTTTCTTGTCCTCCACAGACATGCTTATTAAATCCCCTTCTGAATTTTCCCAAATAGTTTGCTGAAGACATACACACACAATAGAGTTTGTCAATAGCTTTAATCTCCACCTTCCGGGAGATGATCCACTGAAGAAGAGGAAACACTTAACAATGATTGGTAGTTGCCTTTCAAAGGCTTACCGACCTAGCTCAGATACCACCTTTCACAAACAGGGCTGGCTCCAGGGTTTTGGCCACCCCAAGCACCCAAAAAAAAAAAAAAAAAAAAAGCCGCGATCGTGATCTGCGGCGGCAATTCGGCGGGAGGTCCTTCGCTCCTAGGCGGAGTGAGGGACCGTCCGCCGAATTGCCGCTGAATACCTGGACGTGCCGCCCCTCTCCGGAGCGGCCGCCCCAAGCACCTACTTGACAAGCTGGTGCCTAGAGCCGGCCCTGTTCACAGATGAGTTTGGCTGGTTGTGCCCACTTATGGACGGGGTACATAAATACTTAAATACTCCCCCAGTTATGTTTTTTCTGTTGTCAATGAACTGTGAATTATGGACAGAGGCCCAGACCTTCTGTCACACTGATATACAGATACTCTTTTAAAAATATAATATCTTTCTTTTTTGGTATAGTTGTACACTGTTTTTGGACTAACAAGCATTGGTGGCCAATGAGCAAAATAATGATGGGATACTGTAGATGCTAGAGATACTTAACGTCTGCCATGGTTGGACTAGATTTTCAAAGGAAAAAACTTGACATCTAGTGGGAGAGAGGCTGGGATCCCAGGGATGTGAAAATGATTATATTAGAAATGTGAAAAAAGTTTTGGCATCTGTGAGTAGGGTACCACAAGGAAAATGTTATTTTTACCATGTCCACATGTTGTATGTGTTTTTTAATTAATTGATTTTATAAAATTATATGAACTATTACTATGCCATATGAAAAGTGTTGTGTGCATGGCAAACTTTACAAGAAAACTCCTTGATTATTTTCACAGCAAACCCAAGGAACCAATGTTCAGTGCAGGTAGGTTCTGTTTTATTTTTCTCCATTTCTAAAGAGAGAACTTGCATGCTGATGCATTTTTTATTGTACAGTGATTTATCAGGGAAATCGGCATTAGGATTCAGAGCCTTTCACTTACAGGCCACTGGTAGCCTACTTCCTAGTGGCCAATGTGTCTGCATTGCGACTGGAATCCTTTTTGGCAAGAAGGCCAAGAATAAAAAGCCATGAAAATGGAAACTACCTTCTTACCCAATAGAGATATTCCTGTTCAAAACAGGATTAAGGTTTTTGTGGGTTGAAGTATATGTGAAGCTCAGACTATGGCTCTCTGCATTATACAATATTTTAAGTGTGATTCTACTCATAAAAATGAGCAAATGCAATTAAGAGATTTCATATTTATGTCTCAGTTCTTTCCTGAGCAAAATTGCCAAGTTACCAATAAAAATATTGTTTTTCTAATTGAAGCTCTGGAAGCTCATCTTTTGACTTGAAAGTCAATGTTCTTTTCTTTCCTGCTCATGCATTATCACCATCAATAAGATTCTGTAAGCTACATTCTAAATTTAAATAAGGACAGAGTTTATTTGCCTCTGCCATTAAAACTTTATGATCAATCCTGTTGATGGCATGTGACACAAAATAGAGTACAGCTTGCTTCCCTGTTGATTCTGCAGAGCCAAGCAAAAGTAAAAAGTAGTAAAAACTTACTTTGTCATTGGAATAAGCAAATGTGATGGAATGCACACTGAGAACAAATCTGCTGGTTCAGCATGTGGTGTTTTTATAGTTACTTTTCAGACTATAATCATAATTTAAATTAAAGATAGAGGATTTCTGTTTCTTGGGCTGATAATCAAGGCCCCCCAGCAAAGCACATAAGCCTGTGCCTCACATCAAGCACTTAAGTAGTCTTGTTGATTTCACTGGGACTACTCATGTACTTATTGCTTCTCTGGATCACAGCCCAATTCCATCTCATGGACACTTAAGCTCTTGAACAAGAAAATAGCTTCTGATATGCTACATTTATAATTTTGTCTCGTAGTAACTTTTTCTTTTTCACTTTCCTGGAAAAAGGCACATATGGCTTTAATAGCCTTTGTTTCAAAATTTTCCATTGAGATTCATAACTTAAATGAATAATTTAACCTACGTGAGTCTGATCTTACCCTTCTGATTCAGGCAAAATTCCCACTGAAATCAGTTAGAGGTTTTTTTTCTAGGCAAAGTATATCCAGTATTCCTAAATATCGAATTATTTTTAGCATAAAGTTACATAATGGAGCTTAAACCAATCTTTTAATGATAAAATAGCTCTAAATGTATTACTGTTGGCTTGAAAAACAGAGTTTTGAATGCAGTTACACACAATCCACTGAATGGACCATGGGTCAATGTTTTGTCAAGCAACGGGTTAGCCTCTAAGAGGATACAGCTGGACAACCAGTAGAGCAGGGGTGTAGGTGAGCCTGACTGTACTCAAACCCATCTTTATCTAGCACTTCTGTCTCTGTCTCTGTAATCACAAGGGAAGCGCCGTGTGACACACTGCAAAGGTAGGCGTCACTTCCAAAACCTCATAGCTCTCTAAGCAAAACTGTTACCAGGGTGACAGAAGCTGTGTTTTTATACAGCCAATATACATTTTTATTGCAAAGTTAAAACTCTTCAATTTATTTTGAGTAAGGTTAAAAATATTCATGTAACAGTGACTGAATTATAACCCTTGGATGCACTATAATGATAACAATGGGTTATAATTTAGATTTTGGTTGTCTTTGGTAAATGACTTTTTAAAAAATTCAGTGTTGAGAGAGCTATATGGCAGCACCTGGATGTCTCACTGTGTTTGAAATGCTGTTTTGCACCTCTGCTGACATGCCCTATGATATAGAACCTGCCCTGTTTTTGCTGTTTTGCTGCAAATCTAATGTATGCTTATAGAAACATTGTTTTTCCCTCTGCTTATATCTTCCTTGGTAGATTGTAGATTTGTCTGAATTATCAGTAAGCAGAAGTAGGTGTATAATTAATTTTAAATGCTTTTTTGCACAGTATAGTAATACAGAATTATGTTTAGTAAGTGTATAGTATTGATTTCTGAAACATAATTGAATTGAACTTTAAATATGCACATTTGGTACATGTCTGTAACTTGTCTCTCTGGTATAACCAGAGATCTTGTCTTGGATTTTAGAAATTGCTTATTCTTAACTAATTTTTCACTAACCTGCATCTTTTAGCTTTACATCAATTAAGTTTAAGCCCTTATAAAGGAATGACTGTTTTACTCTCAAGACTAAATTTTGGACGGGGCCTCAACCCCACCACTGTGTATTCATCATGCAGTTTTATGTCTGTAACCAATAGTGGGTTCAATTGCAGGTCCAATTAGCATTAAGACACCTGACTACTAGGGCTGTCGATTAATCACAGTTAACTCACGCAATTAATTAAAAAATTAATCACGATTAAAAAAATTAATTGTGATTAATCACAGTTTTAATCACACTGTTAAACAGTAGAATACCAATTGAAATTTATTAAATATTTTGGATGTTTTTCTGTATTTTTAAGTATATTGATTTCAGTTACAACACAGAATACAAAGTGTACAGTGCTCACTTTATATTATTTTTTTTATTACAAATATTTGCACGCTAAAAATGGTAAACAAAAGAAATAGTATTTTTCAATTCACCTCATACAAGTACTGTAGTGCAATCTCTTTATCATGAAAGTGCAACTTACAAAGGTAGATTTTTTGTTACATAACTGAACTTAAAACCAAAACAATGTAAAACTTTAGAACCTACAAGTCCACTCTGTCCTACTTGTTCAGCCAAATTGCTAAGAGAAACAAGTTTTTTTACATTTTCAGGAGATAATGCTGCCTGCTTCTTATTTACAATGTCACCTGAAAGTGAGAACAGGCGTTCGCATGGCACTTTTGTAGCCAGCATTGCAAGGTATTTACGTGTCTGATATGCTAAACATTTGTATGCCCCTTCATGCTTTGGCCACCATTCCAGAGGACATGCTTCCATGCTGATGCTTGTTAAAAAAAAAATGCATTAATTACTTAGTGACTGAACTCCTTGGGGGAGAATTGTATGTCTCCTGCTCTGTTTTACCCGTATTCTACCATATATTTCATGTTATAGCTGTCTCGGATGATGACCCAGCACGTTTTTCGTTTTAAGAACCCTTTCACTGCAGATTTGACAAAACGCAAAGAAGGTACCAATGTGAGATTTCTAAAGATAGCTAAAGCACTTGAACCAAGGCCTAAGAATCTGAAGTCCCTTCCAAAATCTGAGAGGGATGAGGTGTGGCGCATGCTTTCAAAAGTCTTAAAAGAGCAACACTTTGATGCAGAAACTACAGAACCCGAACCACCAGAAAAGGAAATCAACCTTCTGCAGGTAGCATCCGACTCAGATGATGAAAATGAACATGCGTCAGTTTGCACTGCTTTGGATTGTTATCAAGAAGAACCCATCATCAGCATGGACATATGTCCTCTGTTGAAGCATGAAGGGACATATGAATCTTTAGTGCATCTGACATGTAAATATCTTGCGATGCCAGCTACAACAGTGCCATGCAAATGCCTGTTCTCACTTTCAGTGACATTGTAAACAAGAAGCAGGCAGCATTATCTCCTGTAAATGTAACCAAACTTGTTTGTCTGAGCGATTGGCTGAAGTAGGACTGAGTGGACTTGTAGGCTCTTCAGTTTTACATTGTTTTGTTTTTGAATGCAGTTTTTGTGTACATAATTCTACATTTGTAAGTTCAACTTTCATGATAAAGAGATTGCACTACAGTACTTGTATTAAGTGAATTGAAAAATACCATTTCTTTTGCTTTTTACAGTGCAAATATTTGTAATAAAAATAAACATAAAGTGAGCACAGTATACTTTGTATTCTGTGTTGTAATTGAAATCAATATATTTGAAAACATATAAAAGATCCAAAAATATTTAAACAAATTGTATTCCATTATTGTTTAACAGTGCGATTAATTGCGATTAATTTTATTGATCACTTGACAGCCCTACTGACTACCTAAAAGGAGAAAATGCACGTGCATTTGCTTGGGCTCACAAAATTTTTGGCTGCAGAAATACAGGCTATGTAATAATTTGGTCCTTGGGTTCTTGTTTCTAGTCCTCTGATGCCTCTGTCTGTTTACGTTTATAGTTTTATAGTAATCTGATATTTAATGACCTTTGCTAAGGAAAGTAGGGGGAAAGGAGTGTGCAGTATTGTATGTGTATTTTTCATGCTTTAGTAGTCAAAATTGTAAAATTCACTATGGTTCAAGTGACCAAATAATAATAATGAGAGACTTAATAATCTCCTCCCTTACCTGCCTTTTAATAATCATGATTAGAGTTGACATCACTAAAATCTGTTAACTTTCCAAATGTACAGTCTCATAATGCCTCAATAACTTTAGTGCTGGTAATATATTCTCAGCCTAATCACAGGGGTATCACATGCTAATATGAACAGCGATGTAGTTATCTATCTTGTGCAGTGCAAGAGCATATTTTGTTTCTTGATAGAGAACTAGAAATCTAATTATTTATAAATATCCAAACATGTCTTCAGTGTTATCAGTCATCTTGAACTCCACACATCTGTTAACATTTTAGTTGTGTCCACTTTTAACATTGTTTTCCATTATTTCACTAGAAATCTCAATTAAAAAACTATTAGTCTTTTTAATATAGTGCCATAATTGTACATGACATCGTGCAAGAGCAGTGCTGTGGCAGAACAACTAGGTTTCCCGAGCATATACATTTCTGCAGTTCAATAGCAAAATATAGTTTAAACATATGACATTTCTTTATTGAATGAATTCTCGATATAAACAAGACTAGGGCCAATAATGCATGCATGTACTCCCATTAAAACACAGCTTTTAGTTTTTAAAATTAAAATAATACTGGCATGTGTGTTAATAATGCTTGAAAATCCTTAGCATAACTTTAACAGACCTAACTGTATAAGTTTTATTTACATAATTTTGTTACTTCTGCCCTTCCATTTCCTCTGTGCACATGATTATTCTGTCTAGTAACTCTACAGATGTCACTGACTCCAAAACTGCTTGATTCACATGAGAGCAAGGCTGAATCCTTTGATCTGCTGATGGAGCAGCAGGAGCCAGCAAGTTTTGAATCTGGACAAACTTCACCAGAAGTTCACAAGACACCCTGTTTGGCCCTGCCAATTTCTAAAAGTCCTAGTCAGAGCTTCATGCCATTTCCTAGATCTCCTAGTTTTATAAGCCCCATGAAATCCCCAAGTCAGTACTTTCAGATCTGTTATTAATTCATGCTTCTGTTCTCAGACATATTTCTTATAAGACCCCCCAACTACAGTATTTCTAGTGTTTTCTCCTCTAAATGTTTACTTTCTATTAGCAAAGTTCAGTTTTGTAGCTTCTTTCCTGTATATCATTTTTCTTTCTATAATGTGTTGTCAGTTTGTCATTCCTGTTTCAATGTTTAGCTATGCTTTAAACACTTAACTGTTTTTGCATGTACGTCTGCATGATTCTTTTTACTAATTGTTTGTGTTTATACGTGATGTACCTTTCACATTATGTATCAAGTGTAAAGTACATCTTTACACTGAGATGCAAAGAATGCAACTAACTGTTTAAGTATTTTTAGATGCTGATGCTCAGAACTGTAAATATCCATCAAAAACTAAATAAAAGAATTTTAAGTGGCATTCCTGCGTTAATTGTAATTTTTACTTTGGTGTTTTTCCTCAGTTCTGGTATAAAAACGAAATATGTACATACGGTATTAATTTCCCCTGAAAGTAATGGTTTGGTCTTAATCTTTTCATTTCTATAGTTCTTTGTTGCATAGTCTAGTTGAAGAGTTTGCTGATAGTCTCAAAATATTTAGACCAAAAGGGGACTTCATGCCCTTTGTTTGATAACCCCTATCTAGCGTTAGTTTGTGACTAAAACAAAAACAAAAGCGACATGTCCTATAATATAAGTTTGAAACGCCATATTATGCAAAAATATTATTCACTGAAATGATAGGTGGGAGCAGTTGGAGGAGAAATCTTTGCTGATGTGTTTATGTATAACTCTCTAAACATTTCTGACCCTTTTTGTAGAAGAAGGATATGTAAAAATGTTTCTGCGTGGACGTCCTGTTACCATGTACATGCCCAAAGATCAAGTGGAATCTTACAATTTGGAAGCAAAAGTAGAACTACCAGCCAAGAGGCTTAAACTGGAATGGGTGTATCCTTTTTATGCTAGAGTATTACTGGGAACTACTAATTTCTTAGCAATTGTCTTAAAATTTTGTTTGAAAAATTATTTAGCAAAATTGAGGTCTTTATGTTGAATTAGTTTCTTTAATGAACTATTAGGCCACATTCACTTTTAAATAGGTGATAATTTCTTGAGACTGCTGCTCCAGATTTTATGCAAAATAGTCAAGCAGCTCGAGGAAGGTTTCACTTAAATGTTGCCTGAAGGTTATGTTTAAAACATGTTAACTATCACAAATTAAAATTAGGAATATTGCAAGAATTTAGTGAACTGTGATTACTAATTATAGTGTACATAAAACAAGTTTGCTTCTTTTCTGATACACATCAGTACTTTATTACGCTTTTTTTTTTTTAAATTGCACACTTGTCTTTTTTAAGAGGTGCTATAATTGCAGTACACGGATAACAAAAGGGGTCTTATAGAACATTCTTGTACATGACAAATTCTCTTCACTGTAGTTAGAAATTAAAAAAAAAAATTAAATTGGAGCCTAAAGTTAGACTCAGAAATCCACATTTAGATGCCAGTCATCTATTATCAAGTTTTGTTGTAAGTGTCGTGGTAGAAGTGAGACTTTAGTGGGGATTTGATGGAGGATAATGTGATCATTTTACACATTTTTATTGGGCACTCCTTCTCCGCATAAGGGCAAGCATGGGAGAATGCATGAAGGTACTTGCTAGAAAATTTGACAGATGGGCAATGAAGGCTGCGTTGGCATAGACCTCAGCCTCCACTCCCTCCACTCCGCCAACAATGTTTCAATATTGTATAAAAAATTATAGTTGGGATGGGGATAGGCCATGACTTCAGTGTGAGTATTCCTATGCCTTGTTTTTTAAAGTGTGATATCCATAGTATAACCTATTAGAAAGCTAAAGTTTTCAATCCATGGAAATATCTCAAAGGTTAACAGCCTCAAGCCAGTGCTGGGTAGTTAGAAGGTTAGCAGGTAGAGGAGGAAAAATATTTCCAAAGAATACCATGCTGAATTTTTCTTTCAGACTTTTCTTTCTTTGGACGTAGTCAGTGGGACTGTTTGCAGGCTTAGAAGTTAAACTCATGTGTATGTCTTTGCAGAATACGGGCACAAAGATGTTACTATTTTTTATTATTATTTGTATTACCATAACACTTAGGAGCCCTAGTCATGGACCAGGACACCATTGTGCTAGATGCTGTACAAACAGAGAACAAGACAATGGTCCATGCCCCAAAGAGATTACAACCTAAGTATGACGATAATGGAGTCTCACGTCAGTGTCGATGTACAAGGATTCAGCAAACATTATAGGTGAACATGTTTATGTAGAGTGACCAGATGTCCCATTTTTAAAGGGACTGTCCCGTTTTTGGGGACTTTTTCTTATATAGGCGCCTATTACCCCCGACCCCCTGTCCCGTTTTTTCACAGTTGCTATCTGGTAACCGTATGTATATGTGAGATCAGACCAATGAGAGAAATGCAAACATGGTTACATGTGGGACAGGCAAGATTGTCCATGACCATTGTAGGATGTTGTATCCTTGCTTTGTGTTAACGTTTTTCACATAAGGTGTTAATGCACCTTGCTTCAAAGCAGTTAATAGCAACATGACAAATCTTCAGCCATCTTGCTCAGTTATGGGATCAACCTGACATGCTTTCAAGTTTGACTTCAGTGTGTCTGTACATTGTTTGTAGTGGCCTCCAGGAAAACAAGTGTATTGCTTTAGATGACCATAAAGTATGGCCATTGGTAGTTTCAATTTGGTCATACAAATGAGATGCTCTGACCAATGCAGCTGAGCTTTTATGAGCATGCTTTGAATGTCAGACATCCAACAACAATTAAGGATATCAGTATTGGGAATCTTGTCGTACCATTTGATTCTGCAAACAGACTGAAGACAGCACATATGGAACTGATCAAGTTTCCTAATGTGGCAGAGATATGTTGTCCAAGTCTCAAAACCATATAGAAGCATTGTAAGCACGACTCTCCAATAGACATTTAGCTTAGTGCTTATTTTGACGTCCCTATTGTTTCATAGGTGATGTGTGAGCATTCCACATGCAGAACTGGCCTTGGCTATGCGATGGGTAATCTTGTCAATACTCTTCTGTCAATGTCAGGAAATGCATCCATAAGCATAGCCAAAAAAAGATGGAAAAGAGTTAGAGAGCCAGCAGGCAACATTGTTTGGTGCCATTGATGACCATTTTCCACCACTCTGGCCATCATCCCATCATGGAAGGACTGAATGACAAATTTGGCAGGGCATCCAGAGATAAACAAAAATTTCCAGAGTCCCTCATGATTTAGAGTCCAGAGTTTTAACTAATTTGGTAAACATCATATAAAGACCTCCGTTTTGCTCCCAGCACTCTTCCTGAAGCTGATGAGCTGTGAAGATCATGTCTGTAGAGCCCCATTCAGACCAGAATCCACACTGGGACTCGGAAAAGTTGATTTCCACAAGATAGGTGTTAAGTCTTCAGTATGACCCATGCAAGAATTTCCCCAGCAACAGAGAGTAGGGAAATGCCACAATGATTATCAGTTTGCCATATCACCCTAATGTTTATAGAGGTGGACAACGTTGGCATCCTTAAAATCCTGTGACACCTACTCCTGCTCCCAAATAATGTGGAAGAGCCATGTGAGGTGCCTTCCAGTGTGGTAGCCACCCTGCTTATAGATATCTGCTAGCATGCCATCCAGTCTGAGTGCTTTGCTTTGTGACATCTGCTTGATTGCTGTTGTGTTCTCATAAGGTGGGCGCTAGTACAAGTTCTCCTTTTAATGGATGTTGTGGAAGAGCATTAATTGCGTCCTTGGAAATTTTGGAAGGGTGATTAAGAAGTGAGCTGAAATGTTCGGCCCATTGAGCATGTATTTCTTTTTTCTCAGTTGAGTCAATTGCCGTCCAGTGTGCATACAGGGGTTATCTTGTTGCACTGGGGTCACCACACCACATGCAGGGTCAGCTAAGTATAAGACAAAAAACAACAGATGGATACAGACAGGGAGAGCAAGGAAACAGTATGACAATATTGGTCAGCATGATAGGCAGTGGTCTCAGTACAGCAGAGGCCTAACCATTGTCAAGATTTTTGTCTGCTTCTAGGCAAAGGAAAGTTTTAAGGAGGACAGTGAGGTAGCTTTGCAGATGTTTATGGGGTGCTCTTTCAAAGCAGGAGGAGCAGCACAGGAGAAAGCACAAAGGTGCTTGTTTAAAATTTAACAAGTGGACGATGGAGGCTGGCATTGTAAGAACCTGCAGGGCTGGGATTATGGGGGTTATGGTCTGCTGACACCCCCACATCACAACAGGAGGCTTAGACTGGGCTTCCGTGGGAGGACCTGTGAGGCTAGGCTCAACAGGAAGTACTGTCCAGCAGGACCTGAGTGGCAGCTCCTCACAGCCTGCTGACTGGCTGGCACTAGTACATAAACCAGGAAGCTATGACAGGGAGTTTTCTGAGCAACAGCACAGTCTCCCTGCCTGTCTCTGCTTCAGACCCCGCATGTAAGAGCCCCGCTTCAAGATTCCGACTCTGCCTGTCTCTTTACGCCTGACTCTTGGTTTGCCCTCTGGCCTGTCTTGGACTCTGGCTTTCTGGTACTCGACCTAGCCTGACTCCTGCTCTGACCACTAGGTCTGACTGCCCATGTCCCTGTCATGACAGGCATTCTCTGATTGGAGGTGGGAATCAACATCTCAATAGGTAGGGTGGGGATAGGCCTTCAAGGTAAAATGAAGACAACTATCATATGCGTAATGCTTCTGCCAGGTGGTGTAGGCAGCAACAAGGGCTGGGTTCAATACCTCGGGGCTCCTCTGAACAATACAAAACAGAAACCACTTGAACCACCACCCACTAATCTTGAAAAAATAAATACCACTTCTGGGTGTCTTCAGAGGTAGCATTTCCCCTCTCGCAAGCACTGAATAACAAAATAAAACTTTTATTAAAAGAAGAAAACACAGCATTAATTTGGGAAAACACTGCAACAATTACTTGAATGTACACAACCAATGAGTAAAACACCTGCCCCATGGTATCTTGGGCAGTGTCCTTTTTTTCGGTTTCCCATCTTGCAGTATGAAAGTCCCAGGGATGAATGTCTTTTTAACATTTTTCCTCTGCTGCACTCCACTCAGTTCGTTGTCCAAGGTCAGCAACGTCCCCAGAGTCCAGGGATGTGTTTGGGTGAGTTCACCTCCCGTCCCTGAGGGGAGAGGGTGGTTGAGTGATGCCTTCACCTCTGCCCATCTGTGTGTCTGCAGTCTCAGCTGCTGTTTGTCTCTGTCAATGTCTCTGCATGTAACTGCTGCTGCTGACAGCTGCCATCATCACTGCTGCCTGTACCTGCAATGCTGTGCTCTGAGGTTCCACCACTTAGTCCCTTTCTCAGTGATTTCAGCTCTGTAGTGATTTCACTGGATAGTGGGGAACCTCTCTGCTGCTACCCCTTCTGCACTGTCTTTTCACCTCAACACTGTCTGTATACCAAGTCTAAAGTTCCGCTCCCTTAGATCAGCTTATTAGTGAGCTCAGTTCCAGTAATCACTAAGAAAGAACCAGGACTTTCAAATCAGTCTAGTCAGCTCTGTTTTTTCAAACACTTGAGGAGGGAGGGTCAAATGGCTTCTGGGACGCTTTAAACAGGTCCACACTACCAGGTAGGAACATCTGTCCCTACTGCCTCTGACTCTTACTTGGATATGGCATCACAACCGTACACTTAGTGAGTGAGGTTAACCTTAGGGTGACTCCCTTAATTAGAGCGGGTTAATTACAGCCCTTCTGCCCTTTACTCATACAATGAGGAGAACAACATTTCATTTCCCCTGCATTCAATACTAAAGTGAATTTTAACTCCAAATAGCCAAAACTGATCACTTTGTCAACGAAGGTCTGACTGCTGATACCCTAGGCAGAAAACATGTAGCTATGCAAACAGTCTGCTCCTGAGCTCTTTCCCCCCATCAGCATTAGTGACGAGAAGTCACTAATGCTGATGGATTGGAAGTTATGTAAATGCCAAGTGACAGGGCATGAGGGAGGGGCTCATGAGTGATGCTAAAAGAGACCAGGTAATGGTCAGAGGGGGGAATTCAGCAATAGAGAGAGAGAGCAATGCCCCTTTTTAATGAGATTTGAGCCAGGGTGCAGATCAAATGAAGGGGGATGGGTGAGGTAACACACAGCTAAGGGGTTGGATGGGTCATCAACATAGAAGTTGAAGTCACAGAGGATGGGGGTAGGAGATTGTGAGGAGAAGAAAAGAGAAAGCCAGGAGTTGAAATCAGAGAAGAAGGCTGATGGGGAGGAGTTGAGATGGTAAATGACAACATGGAGGGGTATGGAAAATTGGCTGCAATGCTGCTCAAAAGAGAAGAGAGTGGGAAGTGGGAGGAAAAAAGATATTTTTTCCCAACTAGATAAATATTTTATATATAATAGTTATTTACTTAAGGATTTCCTCCATATAAATAAAGTTATATGCCATAATATTACTTAACTTCTTGACTTTCATACACTCCGACTTCTAACCTCTATGGGCTTGATTCTGCAATGTGTTGAAGTCTAAGGAAGTTTTGATATTGACTTCAATGGGAATAGGATCAGATTTTATACAGACAAATAGGAAGATTGAGGCAATAAAGTGGTGTCCTGTAATCCAATGATAAAGTTTTCTTAAAAATAGGAAGCTTTAGTTTTCCTCTTCATTACCAATAAGTCATCCGTAAGAGAGACACTTGCTATTTTCATTCACGCACGCTTCTTTATTACTTTACAGTTAGGGTATCTCAAAAAACTTAACGGAGTGTTGGTTGAAACTTTCAAATCTGGTAGCCTAAAATTGGGTTCCTGATTACATATTTAGGTGCCCAAATACAAGTGGCTGTATTTTCAGAAATGCTGAGCAATCACTCACTAGTCCTGTTGAAGTCAGTGGGAGGTGCAAGAGTTCAGCACCTTTGAAAAGTCAGGAAACCTTTATTTAATTGCCTAATTTTAGGCACCCAAGTTTGAAAAATTTGGCCTCACTTCCTGCATCATATCAACGCATGGTTGAACAGCAGGGTCAAACCATCCTTGCCCATAATGAATGGAGGACAAAATATGTATTCATTTCTATATTCTTTTTATTATTAAAAATCACTTCTAAACCACAGTAGATTTATACTGCACTTTATAAACATTATCTCTGCCTCAAAAAGCTTACAATCTAATTGTATATACTAAAAGACCTGGGGGAAAATAAAGCATTGTGTTATATTAATGTTGTATGTCAGTGGTTGTCAACCTTTTCCATAACACAACCCCTTTCTTCCATACTGGACCACCTCGGAATATCCTCCCATTTAGCCAGGACCTAGCTGAGACCACACTCTCCCATATTAGCAGGGTCGCCATGTCCCCTGATGCCTGTTTATTACATACTTGAGTAAGACAACTTAATTTGGCCAAATTGTGATCTCATTTACACAGGTTTAAACCTGTATTAACTCCAGTTATTTCACTGGACTTAGTTTGGTTTATCACTGATGTGACTGGCATCAGGATCTGGCCCACTGCCTTTTCAATACTGTACCAGTTAATTGAAATATATGATGCAACTCTTTACTATCCAGATAGATGTGAAACTGTAAATGATGAGGATAATGAATCAATCACCCTGAACAAAGGATAAGGCAATCAGTCCTGATATGATGCAGAGAGTGGTACTGGATGACCTACTAGTTCTCTTCCAGCCCAAATGATTCTTTCATATAACCAATCAATTTAAATAATAAGTGCACTTGAAACAAAGCTGGTAGTTTGCACAAATGTCAAAGGATAGTAAAGACACCAGGAATTGCCATGAAAGTATATTGCCTGCACTGCAAGTTTGCAGGGATCTGGTATTTTCACTGTACAGAAGGGGCTACAATATGTTATTTTCCATGTGTCAGTCTCTTAATTCATAAGAAGTAGTGTTATTTCTTCTTAACAAGCATGCTAGCTATGGGTATAGGGGTCGGGACTGTCGCAGTAACCTATACCTACTTCCAACGGGCGAAACTGTGTATTTCATTGCATCAGTAGTTGTGTTATACAATGTTGAAGAACAACTTCAGAGACATTACACTGGTCACAATGATGATGTGAAGTGGTAAGTCTCCAAAACATTCTTATTTTTTTATAGAAATGGGGTTCTGGGAAATGCTAATGTTGCCTTTAAAAAAAATAATTAATGTTCTTTCCTCTCTGAAAAGAGAATTCTAGTAATTTAACCTCTAAATCTTCATGTGTTAGATCTTTGTTACCTAAGAGACTGCCTGTCATCTTGGCTCATCTGATAACTCTGCATTTCCTTCCAGAAGATCTATTCTAGTCCATCTATCACCATAATATTTATGTGCTTTTTATTCTACATCCGCACAGAGTGGTTATAAAGTGCAGTTTCAGTTCCCTGTGTTTGGTTCCCATAACTGGTCTCTCTTTACATACTTAGAGAAGGCGGAAAATCTAGATATTTGACTTTGTTGTTAGACCTGCTTACCTTCAGGTTCTATGGTCTATTTGTCTATATTCCCCTCCCTTATGTCTTTGTTGTTAAGATAATTTGGTCATGACCTTTGTTTATTCTTAAGGCTCCTCTTAATACTTTTCAGCATGACTGTATAAATGCTTCTAGCTTCCTTTATCTACATTTCTCTAGGTTAAGCATTATGAAACACCTTTTTGCCTCTATAAGAGGCTAAAAATAGTACTGATAATGGAATCTGGTTGCAACCTTAGCTATATAGGGCCATGAACATGCTCCATGAAATGAATTCATCGCATAGCTTAGTGGTTTTACAGTGAGATTTTAACTTGGATTTTGATTAACTGTTCCATCTCATCTGTCTTTTTCAAACTCTCCTATTCCTTTGAATTTTTCAAAGCATTCAGGGTTTTAGAGAGTGGATAATATTCTGTATTGAAAGTAGAGTGAATTCCTTATCCCCTAGCTGTCAAAGTTCATTTTGCTTGGCACTCTGCCTCCAGGACTAAGTGAGAAGCAGCTGCAGTGAAAGAAGAATTAACATATTTGCAGTATTGCTTGCTCTCGTCTTAAACAATACATTGATGATTTCTCTTCTCTTGGGTACAGTGGTAACTGCTGAGTACATTTTGTTTATCTGAACAGCTGATTCTAGGGGTCAAATGGTTTAATTTCTTGGTTCTGGAATTCTGTTTCTGAGACTTAGATTCACTGACCTAAAATTTGTACCTTTGTAGAATTTTGAAGTGGATAACAATAGTATTTTTCCAGAGCAAGAGGAAGGATAATCAAAGCCTAAACTTGATAAAAAGAACCAAGTAGTACTGTACTACTGTACTGTATGTTGAGAAACTGGAAGGGCACAAACGAATCACTAACTGGTTCTAGTGTCTGAGTTGTAGTGATAGAAGAGTTTGGGGAATAAAAGGTCATGAAAGTAGTTTTATCTCTATTTTGGGGATACATTTTTTAGATGTTACATTCCTAATATGCATTTATGTAACTGAAGTAATTAGACTAAGTCTGTAGACTCTTGTTTTAGTCTGCATGGAATCTGGCATTTGGATGTTACAATATATCATCAATGCTTTAAATATGAAGGTTGACAACTTTTTCTTTTCCAGCCTAGCTGTCCATCCTGACCGGATCACCATAGCAACGGGTCAGGTTGCAGGTACCTCTAAGGATGGAAAAGTGAGCAAACCTTTTGTTTACAGTAACATGCTCATATTTCACAAGACATATTATTGTATTGTAGTTAGTGGTATATGACCTCTGTGCAGTAGTTAAATCACCCTTGAATTTTAAAAATTAAAAATACAAAGCATTATACTCTTAATTTGACAGAAGCTAATTGAATGATGCCAAGGTAGCCAATGGAATTGTCAAGTTCCATCAGCTAGTTCCATTTTCTGATGCCGTCTGTCTGTCTCTGACTCTCCAGATCCATTCCTTACAGAGAACACGAGGAGGTTTGGAGGTGGGCTCCAGAGGAAAGATGGGACCATGAGATCCAAAATTTTGATAGCTGTGTTTGTCTTGTTTTTAAAAATAATCAACACTGTTATTTGAAAGAAGCTGAATTTTCTTTAAGGGTTAGTTTTATTAATTAATGATCAATAAGCAATCAAGAGTAATAATTGGGCCTGATACAGCATTAAAACGTCAGTTAACTTAAAAGTTTTACACACACATACACATTTTAGAATTTGGCCTTCATTTATTAGTCTATTGTATACGTAGAATAAATTCTCTGCAATTCTTCCTAGTTGCTTTGAGGTAATATTTTTAATTAACACATATTTACAGGGACTGCCCTCTAGTGGATTTAAGAAGCATTTAAGTCTCCATCATATTGAGCAATGTGCTCTATTATCTTTGTATTACTGTAAGTGATTGTTAGGAAAGAACTTTAAACATGTACATTTGACATGCAAATAATTTTAATTATTCATATATTGAATTGATTTTAGGCTAAACAAAGATGGTTCTGACCAGTGTTATAAAAAGGGAGACTAATAATAAAGTTGTTTTCTATGGCCAACTTTCCACTGTTGTTGAAAGTAATCAGCCAGTAACTGATTTTCTTGTTTTTGTTTATTGTGCATTAGTAATTTGATACCAGCTAGAAACAATATATTGTTTGCTGCAGTTAAGACTCTGTGACCTTGGAGCAGGACATGAAATGGGCTAATTGTAGATCTGATCTTGCAAGGTGCTTAACACCTCCCACTTAGTACTGGGCACCTGGGATTGGAGGTTGCTCTTTGCCCTGCCGGATTAATCGCAATGACTAGGCATATGTGTGGATATTACTGGGTCATTTGCTAGGCCATCTGTCATTATACAGCAGGAGAACTATATTGGTGTTACTAATAATACTGATATTAAATGTTAATAACATGGGTTTTCACGTATTTTCAAATTTTAAAAAATGCTGATACTCTTTCCCAACATTTTTTTTCAGTTGCTTCTGCTTTAATTTTTTACAGCAATTACCACCCCATGTACGTGTTTGGGATTCTGTTACTTTGAATACACTGCATATCATTGGGATGGGCTTTTTTGACCGTGCTGTCACCTGCATTGCTTTTTCTAAGTCTGTAAGTAAATGCATGTATAAAGTGTTTGTGTGCTGAATGTATAGTTAAATTATTTAAAGTTTCATATACACAGTATTCTGAAAAAATTGAGAGCTAAATCTTATACTACTCAAGCAAAACTCCACAGTTTACTTCCGTCTGTAGGATTTGGATCTAAAGATTTTAACTGGAAGTAGAATAACATTTTTCACTTTCAGTTAGGCAGTAATGTTTAATAACTTTTAGATTTGTATGTACGGATTTCTGAATTATTTTATAAATGATTTTTAAAATGTTTTGCTTCAGAATGGAGGAAGTAACCTTTGTTCCGTGGATGATTCAAATGACCATGTGCTTTCTGTATGGGACTGGCAGAAGGAAGAGAGGCTGGCAGATGTCAAGGTGTTGCAATAAGATATTTTGTGCAATAAAATGCTTGCTTGTATGCAGATCTGAATTTTTGTCGTCAAATTTCTTTCTGTACCTTTTAATTCTTATTAGTGCTTTCATTTATAAAGGACAAAGAATATAAAGTACAGATACCTGAAATATTTCTTCTCATGGTTGAAAATAATGTGGGGGGCTTTTCGGAGGGAGGGAGGGAAGGAAAAGGGTCTTATTTTTGCTTTGCTGCCACAATCATGTTAGAGTTTATTAAGAAATTTTAAAAAGCAACTATAGGGATGTATAAGAATACATACAGAAAAATGCTGTAAACAAATTTTAATTTGAGAGCTTCCTCTTAAGAATATCGGACACAGTTTTGAAGACATGCTTCAAATGTATAGACATTAGAAAATGTTTTCACTTCACTCTTTCCTTCAAGACATTTTATCCAAAGTGCTTGTTCTATGATCAGTCTGTTGTCACTTAAAGTAAAAAATCAGCAAAAAAATTTCAATCCAAATATGGTACATAATTATGTGTCATAAGTTGACTAATTTGTTTAACAAGAAAACACTTGTAAATTAATCATTTTGTTTTATCTGTATTTTAAATTTTGATACATTGTTTCTTTCTTTCTTTTCAAGTGTTCTAATGAGGCGGTATTTGCAACAGATTTTCATCCTACAGACACAAATATAATAGTTACATGTGGAAAATCACACCTTTACTTTTGGATGTTAGAAGGGAACTCCCTTATTAAAAAGCAAGGATTATTTGAGGTAAAGTAGTATATGCTCCTAACTTTTCTGTTATAGCAATGCTATATGCACACAGCAATAAAGTTTATTTAAGGCTGGAATGAATCAAGACAACATGGTAATTAAACCTGCTATTTTCTAATATTGTATTTTGTACAGCATTTGTAATATATTATTACAGTACCTTAGCATAGCGTGCAGGAGTCCTAGGTGGTTATCACTACAGTGAAGGTCAAAATCTGGTTTCCATTCTAGCCTCTACATTCTTGTTTTCACTTTCTCTTAATTTTCTCAAATTCCTTTTGGGTTGAAAGTTTCCATGTTTGGCCAGAGCCCAAAGGTGGTAGGGGTTTTTTTCCCCCAAGGGTAATTTGAGAAATACAACTTGACTGAGTTGCAAATTTATGTGAACATGAATTTTCTTTCCCATATGTTCTTTTCAGATCTAAAGTTCTGCATGTACATATTTCAAAACGAGACAAAGCTAAAAATTCCACTCTTAGTCTATTTTGTAAATATCATTTTTACTTAAAGGTCTTGCTTTTAAAAAAGTAGGTCTGAACTCCACTTTGATTTTTGCATTTCCATTTGCATGCATAGTTACTACAGTTGCAAGCACAAATAAAATGTTTCTGCAGTGTGTACAGATGGCTACTATGGTGTCTAGTTAACCATTGCTTGTTTAAATTATCTGACTTGAAAGTGCAATCAAAGTAACTGCATAAAGAAATGTCAGCATGCATGATGTGCGTGTAACGGGGATGGATTACTAAAATTCTATTATGTTTAACTATATTACATTTCCCTTTTTTCTGCACCTCAGCTTAACTCCTTGCTGAAGCACAGGCCAGATTTCTGTTTTTTCAGGACTTTTCAGAAAGCATTACACAGAGTTAAATCTCAGGGCTGAGCATAAAGGGGCATATGAATGTTTAGCATATCTGGCACATAAATACCTTGCAACGCCAGCTTCAGCAGTGCCATGTGAACATTTGTTCTCACTTTCAGGTGACATTGTAAATAAGAAGCGGGCTGCATTATCTCCTGTAAATGTAAAGCAACTTGTTTGTCTTAGTGATTGGCTGAACAAGAAGTAGGACTGAGTGGACCTGTAGGCTCTAAAGTTTTACATTTTTTTGTTTTTGAGTGCAGTTATTTAAAAAAAATTCTACATTTCATGATAAAGAGATTGCACTACAGTACTGGTATGAGGTAAATTGAAAAATACTGTTTCTTTTGTTTCTCTTTTTTACAGTGCAGATATTTGTAATCAAAAATAATATACAGTGAGCACTGTACACTTTCTATTCAGTGTTGTAACTGAAATCAATATATTTGAAAATGTAGAAGAACATCTAGAAATATGTATAATAAACTTAAATTGGTATTCTATTATTGATTAACAGTGCAATTAAAACTGCAATTAATCATGGCTATTTTTTTATCTCACAATTAATAAAAAAAAATTAATTGTTTGACAACCCTACATTAAGTAGTAAATCCTTATACAGACTTCTTCACTTTGGTGCTGTTACATATATTTAAATGAAAGTGTTTAACGTGACATTTACACTTCTATACTTTACTACACATATTCTCCTGTAAAAAGAACAGGAGTACTTGTGGCACCTTAGAGACTAAAGGTGCCACAAGTACTCCTGTTCTTTTTGCGGATACAGACTAACACGGCTGCTACTCTGAAACATATTCTCCTGTGATATTCTTTCAGAGATAACTTTTCAAATTCTGTATAGTGGTCATAATATGCAGTGTGTGTCACCTGGATTCTTCAGAGTCTGAGAGGAATGGCAGCACCTCTGTTCTTTTCTGAATGCTTCAAAGCCTTATCAGCAAAAAAAAGTCTGGGGATCCTTACAGCTAGCAGCATTCCAGTCCTTGAGTTAATAGCTGATTGGTTTACTCAGCTGCTGGTGAAACAGGAATCTATAGCCTATATCCAAAGAGTTAGCCAGCCCTCACAGCCAGGGCCGGCTCCAGGCACCAGCTGAGCAAGCAGGTGCTTAGGGTGGCCAAGGGGAAGGGGCAGCACCTCGGGCTCTTCGGCGGCAATTCGGCGGAGGGTCCCTGTCGGAGGGAAGGACGTGCCGCCGAATTGCCGCCAAAGAAGAAAGCGGTGGGGTGGAGCTGCCGCCGATCGCGATGGCGGCTTTTTTTTCTTTTTTTTCCGCCGCTTGGGGCGGCAAAAACTCTGGAGCCGGCCCTGCTCACAGCAGACATTTCTCTTCCTTCTGCTGAGCCCACAGCCAGTCAGCCATAGGGCTGTCTTTAACTTCTATATCTATAACCTTCCCTCCCTGCCCCCCAGTTCTGATTGACTAAGCTCTCAAATGATGAGTATGCGTGGGACCTGCAAAACTTACTGCTGGGGGAATTCTGCACATCTGCAGATGTGCAGAATTCCTCTGTCCACATAATTTTGTATTTTCCCGCATAAAATACATTCTGCTCAAGAAGTGCTGCTGTGCCACCTTTTGCCCACCAGAGGACACTGTGGCACCAGAACAGCTAGCTGCAAGAATGCAGCTGGCTGTTCTGGCATCATAGCGGCCTCTGGTGGGCAAAAGGCAGACTGCATCACTTCTGGAACAGAATGTATTTTCTGTGCGGGGGAAAAAATTCTCTGCCCAGTGCTGCAGAATTCCCCCAGGAGTAGAAGTTCATCACAGCACCCTGTCCATGGAGCCAGGTTAGGACAGAGTGAAGCACACAGGGCTGCTGGGGGATCATAGATTGGGGTTCAGAATGGCTAGTGGGGGGACAGACTGGGGCATGGACTCAGGAGCTAGTGGGGTGACAGAATTGAGCCTGGAGATGGGAGAGAGGGGCTGCAGAGACATATGGGGATAGGGGTGCAGGGACGGGCAGATGTGCCTGATTGAATAGGAGGGGCTTGGGGTTAGCCAGGGTCTGCATGGGGGAGGTTTCCCAACTCCCTAACAATCCCCGCCCAAAAAACCTTCTCGCACCCACACCCAACACCCTCCAGGTTCACTCCTAGGCTCCTTCCCTTTCCCTCAGCTCTTCCATTACTCCTGACTCCCCCAAGCCTTGCACTGCTTCTGACATGTGCAGGAAATACTGTTCTGTATTGTAATTTAAATGAATTACTCAAAGTTCTGTATTAATATGCTTAGTAAGGAATTTGCCAAAAAAATGTTTACCAGACTCTTTACTTTTGGTCTGTATTGTTACAGACATACTTGCTGACAGATATTTTGAAATAAATTACCCAAATAATTGAAACTGGCATGATTATATTGTGTTATTTTGACAAATAAAATATGCAGAATTTTGAAGAATTTTCAAATAGTATGTGCAGAATTTAATTTTTTGGAGCAGAATTCCCCCAGGAGTGAAAACTGCTTGCCCTAAATGAAAATGTCTTATACAGCTTCACAAACAGCTACAGAGCATGCTTAGTAACTGCCATGCCCTACTTCTGGATGTTTCTATGCCTTCTAGCTGAGTTTCTCTGGACCTGTGCACAAAACATAGCATATTCAGAAAAAAAAATCCATGTCTCCTCCCCACTGCTTCTCTCCCTTTCTTTGGGCTAATTTTTTTCCCCAAATGCTGCAGTATAAAGCATGTGGGCTATACATGTTCCAGTTGGCTTTCTACTTTTTAAAATCTGTCTCCTTAAGCAAGCCAAGTTGAAGCAAATTACTCAAGTAATTGTAAAGTTATAAACATTTTCAAGTTGGAACTCTTAAATATGTGCCTTGACATTTTCTGTTTTCATTTTTAAATGCATTTTTAAGGATAGCCTCTGTTAAGCTGAGAAAGTATTACAGATGCATTTGTTACTTCCAGAACAAATATACCTGGAGCACCTACGCCTCACAGAACTTCCTCATTGTTCTTCAAAGAAATCAAGCTTTTCTGACAGTGTTTGCAGACCTTAATTTTTTTCAGATGAATAAAAAGAAAATATTACAGCATTAATATTAGGACTACATTGAATTAAATATATACAGCTAAAAGGAATGGACTGCGTGTTGCTGTAAATGTACTCATTCTCTACCATACAGAAACAAGAGAAGCCAAAGTTTGTCCTGTGTGTGACCTTTTCTGAAAATGGTGATACAATCACAGGAGACTCAAGTGGAAACATCTTAGTCTGGGGAAAAGGTAAGACAAGACAGATTATAACAGTGCCTTGTATACTACATTGAAATAGAACAACTGTTTATTTTCCTTCGAGTGATTGTGCACGTATACATTCCACTGTAAGTGTATCTGTGCCCAGTGCATTTGAGTCAGATAATTTTGACAGCAGTACCACTAGGCAGCACATGCGACCCTGCCCTCCTTGTGGTTAGAGCCAAGGGCATAAAAGGGGCGTGACTGCTGCCTCCTTCTCAGTTCCTTCTTATGGCAAGAACTGGAGCTCTCCATCACTCTTGAGCCTCGGTTAGCCAGCTTAGAAAGAGAATTTCTCATTTTGTATATAGTTATAATTCATTTACTATTGTTATAGTTTAGTAGGCAATTAGCTGACAGTGATTTTAGGGATTTTTGCCATGCAGAAATACCCCGGATTTAAACAGTGTGCCACATGCAGGGCTGTTATCCCTGTCACTGATAAACATAACAGCTGCCTAATTTGTTAGTGTGGAAGAAAACAATCCTCACTCTGCGTTTGTTAGCAACAAGTCAGAGGAAAGACTGCGGTCGGACAGAGAGGTCCCCTGACTTTAGGCAGATCTTCCCCCTACAAGCAGTACAAGACAAGTATTTATACCTTCCCATTACATACATCAACGGCTAATTTGTTTTGTTTATACAAATTCTCTCCAGATGCTACCTTATCTCAAGGTTTCTGCTTAAGTCAGCATTCCATCCTTATCAACTGAAAGCAAGGCGAGAACAGCATCTCCTACAACTCTCGCATTGTTAGGGTTAGGGTTTCCTTTCGCCTAATCCTTAAATGGTCTAAAGACATTTACCCCCAGATCCTCCTTTTTCTCTTACTTTTCTGCTTCCACATTAGGGAATTTCTCCTCCACATGTCTCGCCTAATCATAGATTCATAGATTCTAGGACTGGAAGGGACCTCGAGAGGTCATCGAGTCCAGTCCCCTGCCCGCATGGCAGGACCAAATACTGTCTAGACCATCCCTGATAGACATTTATCTAACCTACTCTTAAATATCTTCAGAGATGGAGATTCCACAACCTCCCTAGGCAATTTATTCCAGTTTTTAACCACCCTGACAGTTAGGAACTTTTTCCTAATGTCCAACCTAGACCTCCCTTGCTGCAGTTTAAGCCCATTGCTTCTTGTTCTATCCTTAGAGGCTAAGATGAACAAGTTTTCTCTCTCCTCCTTATGACACCCTTTTAGATACCTGAAAACTGCTATCATGTCCCCTCTCAGTCTTCTTTTTTCCAAACTAAACAAACCCAATTCTTTCAGCCTTCCTTCATAGGTCATGTTCTCAAGACCTTTAATCATTCTTGTTGCTCTTCTCTGGACCCTTTCCAATTTCTCCACATCTTTCTTGAAATGCGGTGCCCAGAACTGGACACAATACTCCAGCTGAGGCCTAACCAGAGCAGAGTAGAGCGGAAGAATGACTTCTCGTGTCTTGCTCACAACACACCTGTTAATACATCCCAGAATCATGTTTGCTTTTTTTGCAACAGCATCACACTGTTGACTCATATTTAGCTTGTGGTCCACTATAACCCCTAGATCCCTTTCTGCCGTACTCCTTCCTAGACAGTCTCTTCCCATTCTGTATGTGTGAAACTGATTTTTTCTTCCTAAGTGGAGCACTTTGCATTTGTCTTTGTTAAACTTCATCCTGTTTAACTCAGACCATTTCTCCAATTTGTCCAGATCATTTTGAAATATGACCCTGTCCTCCAAAGCAGCTGCAATCCCTCCCAGTTTGGCATCATCCGCAAACTTAATAAGTGTACTTTCTATGCCAATATCTAAGTCGTTAATGAAGATATTGAACAGAGCCGGTCCCAAAACAGACCCCTGCGGAACCCCACTCGTTATGCCTTTCCAGCAGGATTGGGCACCATTAATAACAACTCTCTGAGTACGGTTATCCAGCCAGTTATGCACCCACCTTATAGTAGCCCCATCTAAATTGTATTTGCCTAGTTTATCGATAAGAATATCATGCGAGACCGTATCAAATGCCTTACTAAAGTCTGGCTATTTCCTATCACCTTACCACCTTCCAAGTGTTTGCAGATGATTTCCTTAATTATTTGCTCCATTATCTTCCCTGGCACAGAAGTTAAACTAACTGGTCTGTAGTTTCCTGGGTTGTTTTTATTTCCCTTTTTATAGATGGGCACTATATTTGCCCTTTTCCAGTCTTCTGGAATCTCTCCCGTCTCCCATGATTTTCCAAAGATAATAGCTAGAGGCTCAGATACCTCCTCTATTAGCTCCTTGAGTATTCTAGGATGCATTTCATCAGGCCCTGGTGACTTGCAGGCATCTAACTTTTCTAAGTGATTTTTAACTTGTTCTTTTTTTATTTCATCTGCTAAACCTACCCCCTTCCCATTAGCATTCACTATGTTAGGCATTCCTTCAGACTTCTCGGTGAAGACCGAAACAAAGAAGTCATTAAGCATCTCTGCCATTTCCAAGTTTCCTGTTACTGTTTCTCCCTCTTCACTAAGCAGTGGGCCTACCCTGTCTTTGGTCTTCCTCTTGCTTCTAATGTATTGATAAAAAGTCTTCTTGTTTCCCTTTATTCCCGTAGCTAGTTTGAGCTCATTTTGTGCCTTTGCCTTTCTAATCTTGCCCCTGCATTCCTGTGTTGTTTGCCTATATTCATCCTTTGTAATCTGTCCTAGTTTCCATTTTTTATGGAATCCTTTTTATTTTTTAGATCATGCAAGATCTCATGGTTAAACCAAGGTGGTCTTTTGCCACATTTTCTATCTTTCCTAACCAGTGGAATAGCTTGCTTTTGGGCCCTTAATAGTGTCCCTTTGAAAAACTGCCAACTCTCCTCAGTTGTTTTTCCCCACAGTCTTGATTTCCATGGGACCTTACCTATCAGCTCTCTGAGCTTACCAAAATCTGCCTTCCTGAAATCCATTGTCTCTATTTTGCTGTTCTCCCTTCTACCCTTCCTTAGAATTGCAAACTCTATGATTTCATGATCACTTTCCTGTTCTCCATGAGATTTCTGTCTGAAGGTTCATCTCCCCTACAAGGTGATGGGTCCCTCTTCAGAGCCTGACCCTGACCACAAGAAAGTAGAAAGTCCTCCACAAGGAGTGCCTTTCTGGTTGCCACAGCTCCAAAGCTTAGATCTTCCTGTCTTGCAGCTTCATCAAAGCTTTCAAAACTGTCTGAGGCTGATAGGCCACACTCCTAATCTTAGATTGGAAAAGAGAAGACAGAGGGGACATGATAGCAGTTATCAGGTATCTAAAAGGGTGTCATAAGGAGGAGGGAGAAAACTTGTTCATCTTAGCCCCTAAGGATAGAACAAGAAGCAATGGGCTTAAACTGCAGCAAGGGAGGTTTAGGTTGGACATTAGGAAAAAGTTCCTAACTGTCAGGGTGGTTAAACACTGGAATAAATTGCCTAGGGAGGTTGTGGAATCTCCATCTCTGAAGATATTTAAGAGTAGGTTAGATAAATGTCTGTCAGGGATGGTCTAGACAATATTTGGACCTGCCATGAGGGCAGGGGACTGGACTCAATGACCTCTCGAGGTCCCTTCCAGTCCTAGAATCTATGAATCACAAAGTCCTGTGGTGCCAAGGTGTGGGTACAAGCACAAACACATTAGTGCCATCTGAGGCAGCATTATTGACTCCAACAGGGCCGCTGGGACTGGTGCCATCTCTGTTACCAGAGAGATCTTCAACCCTGGCACTGTCGGATCCGGTACCAGCTCCCGTGGCTGGAAGCTTACTTTTGTTGTTGGTGCCGTCAATACCGCAAGCCTTTCATGTGGCAAGAGATTTACTGTTCTTCCCTTTACTGTACTTACCTCTGCTGCATCAGCCAACTCTAACTGCAGCTGCTTCAGCTCTGTCTGCTCCTCCCTCAGTTCCATCAGCTCTTCCGGCACCTGCCACTACAGCTTCTGCATCTTCAGTCCAGTACACATCAGCACGGTCAACATCGACTCATCTTTCACCATTCTGTTCACCTTGTCTGCCTCCTTTGGCACTGTTGGATATTTCTTCAGTGTCAGTATTTTGGGAGCAACATCATGTATTTCCAAGGGGTGTTGGAGGTCTGGGCATAGGACTGACTCCTCCATTCACTGAGGAGAGTTATATTTTCTCCTTGTTGGACTCTGACCATGATAGACCTTTATCTCTAAGGTCTTTCAGATCTCTATGCAGGTCTTATTCTAGGGATACACAGCCCAGGGATCAAGATCACTACATTTATAAAGATGCCCCAGTATGGTGCCCTCCACCATGAGCACTACAAAAACTTGGGCCTCGTGGACATCTCCAAGGCTCTCTGGACCTCCACCAACTACACAATCCAGGAAGAGTCACCTTCTCCAGCTCCTGTAGCTACTTGTAAAGCTCCATGAAACCACAAGGTCACCCCTTGACAGAATCCACAGACAAAGAGGTATCAACGGAGGAACCCCTGCATATTCCTCCTTGCATTTCTTCCTTTTCTCCAGAGGAGACTATCACACTGGAGTCAACTTTACCTCCACCTGAAGACCCACCGTGACTGAAACTTGGGTGGGGGGCTGCAGGTGCTCTGGCAGGGGCAGTCCAGGGCCGCCGCAGGTGCTGGCGGAGGAAGGGTTGGCGGGGCTGGCAGGGGTTTCCTATCTGGCTCTGCATCCCTGCAGCTGCTAGGCAGCGGAGGGGCCAGGGGGTCTCTGTGCTGCATGCTGCTCGCAGGCCCCGCCCCTGCAGCTCCTATTGGCTGTGATTCCCGGCCAATGGGGCCTGCGGCAGCCGGCGCTTGTGGTGGGAGCAGCGGCGCTCCTGTCCTGACTCCTCCGCTGCCTAGGAGCTGCAGGGACGCAGAGCCGGATAGGAAACCCCTGCCAGCCCCGCCAACCCTTCCTCCGCCAGCACCTGCGGCGGCCCTGCACCGCCCCTGCCAGAGCACCTGCAGCCCCCCCACCCAAGTTTTAGTCACGGTGGGTATTTTTAG